GGCTGACTGTGGCTCCAACTTCTGCCCAGTTCAGTTTCACATTCTCAACTGTGCACAGAATACTTCCACTGAGACATGCTGCAACCTTGACAGTGAACGCACCAGAAACTGAGGCAGCTGTTTTGATGGCAAACCAGCATCTCACCACTCTCCCATTGTCCCCACAGCCAGGCAGTCACCAGGTCCTCCAGCCTTTCCCTTTTAAATGGCCCCTGCATCGCTCCTTTTCAATGCCCACTACCCCTATTCTACCCTATGTTCTGTTTTCCATCTTTTCCTCCCAATGTATTCATACAATGCCTGCCAGCGTTCAATATTTCTGAAATAACTACTGGCTGTAGTAAGGGCGGATCTGTCCGTGGTTTGTCCAAGCACAAAAGAACAATGAACAAGCAAATGACACAGCTCCTTCCTCAAAGGCTATCAGGGGCTCCTCAATGCAATGAGATAAAACAAATGCCTTAAACAGGCCTTTAAAGCCCTCTGCCCACTGCCCCATTCCTCCTTTCCGGTCATATATTCAATGACTCCAGTTATTCTGGAGCCTAACTGTTCTCCCCAAGTCCTCTCCCCACGCCAACCCCACCACCTTCCTGGCTGTTGACCACCTCCATTTTAAAAGTTTTGAACTTTTTAATATTTGGGATTGTGCTGGTGCCAATACCCTCTTCACCTCTCTGTCTATCCACACCCCTGTGAACTCCCTGCTTCTCCCTGAAGTCCCCCCAGACTACCCGCCTCCAGCAGCCCCTCCATCTCTGCATGCTGCTGCCGTCCACCCACACCGTTCCTTAGCTCAGTGTGGTCTTCTCACGATATTCACTTATGAATCACTAATGCACTGTTTCACTTTTTCTCAGTTTAATGTTGGTGCCTCCCAAAGACTGCACATTCCCTGGGTGCACTGTAGACTTGCCCTGCAACCTCCGTACTGCCTGGCACAGCCTCCTCGTGTGCAGAAGACACTCTATAAATATTTCCTGACTTACAAATCAGTCAAATGTGACACAGCTGTGACATCTGCCACACTCCAGCAAAAGAAGAGGAAAAAACACAGGACAGAAACATCTTCATTTTTGCCTATGTGGGATGAACAGTGAGGGTGAAAAGAGGGCATAGATGCTAAAATGAAAACGATTTTACAGGCTCTGAATGGGAACACCATTTAACCTCTCCTCATACTAAATAGGTATGCATAAGAACTGCCTCATAATATCAGCCATGCTCCCAGGAGAGAGCCCATTGAAAACGTCATCAATTCATTTTAGTTTGGTTGATAATTAATGTAGCTACCTCTGGCATCAATAACCTATGGATTGGCATATAAGTAGGGCATAATTCACAACGCCTATTTAAAATACCATTATATATGTATATGTATATATGTATACATATATAATACACACACACACACAGCCTCATCTTCAGCAATTTCCAAAAAAAATTTGATTTGATCTCTACTCTGCAGTAGCCCCCGTTACCACTGTCATCTCCTCATCCCACCTCTCACCCAGTCTTCATCCCTCCTCCCTAAAAAGCGGCCGGAGCCCAGAGAAGAAAGAAGAATGACGTGCTGGAGAAGATCTTAGAGATCTAGAACAATTCTCACTCCACCCCACTGATGGGAAAACTGAAGCTGCACGATACTGTGAAAAACACAAATCCATTTGGTCAAATCAATTTAAATTCTGCCTCCTCCATTTACTGTGTGATCTAACCTCACCAGGCTTCAGTTTCTATGACTGCAAGAGAAGAAATAATAGCTCTCACAGGATTGTTTGGAGGGTCAACTAGGACAAGGAACAGAAAAGCTCCCACCCCAGGAAGGTGCTCCAAGGCTGGAAGTCCAAAGAGGGGCCAACAGCAATCTCCCTCCCTGTCGCCTCCGTAGGATTCCTCAAAGGGAGAGACATTTATTACAGCTGAAACCAGCCATTTATACAAAAGAGGCCTGGGGGGCAGAGGGAAACCACTGAAGAAGAAAGTAAGTGCCTCCTGAAAACTCTGCCTGCCATCTGTTCTCTGCTTTCTTTCTGAGAGACTCTGAGACCAGTCAACTCCAAGAACACTGTTTTCAGCCAGCGGGGTAGGGCTGCTGGAAGGCAAAGGGGATCACTGCGAGGGCAGAGGCTCCTTCCCCAGCTCTCCAGGACTCCAGGACGGGCAAGGCAGCCACTGCCCAGCCGGGCATCAGACACCTTTCATTCTCCCTCTGCCCACACCATTCAGCTCTTGGGTAGAAAACAGCAGCTCAGCATTTGCACACATGCCGAGGGAAGAGTTTTTTGCAAAGTTAAAAGGATGTGGCTTTTAAACACACAAGGCATGGAGAGTCCCTTTCCCCACCCCTCCTTCTACTGGGGACATCCTCTATCAAAGCAAGCAGGCTTCTCAGGAAACTCCACGTCCCCCACGTCCCCCAGCCTGGCCAGAACACAGGGGCCAAACTTGTAGACCAAAGCCCCTCTCCTCTCCCTGCAGAGCTGCCTCTTGCCCAGCCTGGGTCTTCACTGCCCTGTGTATCGGTCTACCCAGCAGCTAAAGCTAAATGATGAAGTTGGCCGACTAAGTTACAGCAGTTCAGGCGACAGCTATGTAACAGCCCAGAAGGGGCTGGGCTCACAGCGCTTCCTTTGCTCTAGGGAGCTGCATTTTTCTAAGATTATTATTCCTTGGGCTGGCTGCTCATCTACTCGGCGTCATTTCCCCTTTGGGTGGGAAAGTTCTTTCCCTCTCCATTGATTTTCATTATGACTTAAGCTTTTTTGCCTTCTCTCTGCAGATCTCACAATTAAAGCATGGTCTCTACATTGCAAAAATCAAGGCATATAAAAATCAGATTAGAACTGTGGCTTGGAAGCCCTGAGTTGTTTAAAACAACAACTACAAAAAAACCAAAACACCAAGAAAAAGAAAATCTCCAGGACTTGTCACCCTTTCTATCTCCACTGGCTGAATCATCAGCAACAACTTCAGCTACATAGCCAGCAGGGGATACGTGGACGCAAAAGTTGGACAATGGCCATCGGGTGCGGGGGGGGCGGCTGTCCTGGGGCTTGCAGTCTAATGCAGGCCAACCACCCGCAGACAGAAACAAGGGTGGTTACTTAACAGTGAGAACCTTGGACGTTGTCAAGAGGAGGAAAAGGTCTAGAAATGGTCCCAGGGAAGAAAAGGTGTCGCTGGTCCCTGCTGGCGATGCCCATGTATTTGGAAGCCCAAGCCACGAGGGCCAGGCACTGACCGTGGGCATCCTTGCAGCAGAAGGGGCTGCAGGCAGTCTCCCCAACAGTCAAATGAAACACATTATTTGTAAAACTTGGGCTCGTTACCAGCAGGAGGGAGCACCACCCCAAACACAAAGCCATTGGTTCACAACCTGGATGGCCAGCCGTCTGTCGGTGCTGAGAGGGCAGATATACACAAGGGAGGCGATGTGGACCAGAGTGCCTCCTGAGGCCCGTTCAGCACAGTGACCTGGCTGCCCTGGGAGGTAACTGACTGTACCTTGTGATACATGGTGGCCTATCAAGAAAGGTCCAGAAAAATCCTTGGAGATTATTAGGAAACTCAGATTCTCCTCATCTCTGAAATCGGGCAATGCTGGCTCTCTTGTTTTTTCTCTTCTCCCCGAAGTGACACTGTTTGAGCCACCACCAGAAAACAAGCACAGGTCGTGCCTGCATCCTCAGTCATGTTAGTAGCTTCCAGCAGTTTTCAGCAGGTAATCAATTTCCTCTTCTAATCTCAGGTTTCTGACATCCCACTTGAGAGCCAGCCTTAGATCTGCAGAACAGCAGATGCTCCTCCTCAGGCAGTCTTTATGGGGGCACCAGGAGAGACCCTCTTACGCAAGAGAAGTTTTAGGCGACTTCACCCCCTACCTGCCTGCTCCCCAGGACTCTCACATGCATCCCTCCAGATCTCAAGCACCTGAAATCTCCATCACTCTCATCTCGCAGAGTGAATCAAACTCAAAAGGGTGTAAAACCAAGACTAGCAGTGTTTATCTGCCAGACCTGTGAAGAAGAGTGGGACACTTGGGGCACAGGAGGAGGCCCTGACCAGCAAAGATCAGCCCTGCCAAGCCCAACTCTTACCTGCTGAGTCCCCTAAGCCAGTTTCCCTCCACTGCCCCTCTCCTCAAAACACCCAGCTCTCTGACACCCAGCTTTCTGACTTGTAGGGATTCCCAGCCACAGAAGGGAGGAGACTCTTGCACCAGCTTCATCCAGTCAGAGCCTGCACTCTGACCCCACCCTGAAAGGCATCATCCCTCCCTCCTTCTCATCCCCTAAGATCGGGACCTAAGCTAAGAAAGCCTGATTACCAACCAGAGAAAGCTGCCTTCAGTTCCTGGGTGTCTCCTCTGACATGGCCTCAGTCCCCTGTACTTCACTTTCCACTTAGAAAACTCACAAAACACAACAGTGTTCCTCGGCTTCTTTTCTAGTGCAAGAAAGCCAGGAAGTGTTCTCTTTTATGTTCTTAATTCCTTCCCGTGGAACTTAAAACAATGTGCTGTAAGTCATCTACAATCGGAGTCACTGTGGGTGTGCCTGCAGCAGGTCCATGGAAGCTTCTTTCTCTTTTCCCTTCCCTTACTGTTCTTCAGTTCTGTCTTGTGCCAGCAATTTAGAAACAGGGTATTTTCAGAGACAGGGTGTTTTGCAATGATAGAAGCACTATTTGAATATGGAGTTGAGTGTTTACTGGGGGAACTGTTTTTTTTTTTAACTTTTTAAAATTTAATTGGAGGATGCATCCCTAGGTTCAACAAAGCAAGTTAATTCCAATACCACAGTGTGTGTGTGAGATGAGAAACTTAAAAGAAGTGTCAACTAGGAAGATGAAATCTCAACCTCCACCTAAACTCCAAACCTCCACGATAACCCTGAGAGAGCGCATGCCCTGTGTCACTCACAGGGAGGCACCGCCACACTGCGGACTTTGTTCAGAGCACTTTCCATTATTTTTACTTTCATTTTGTCACATCATCACTAGGACGCCAGGGGGAACAGGGATCATTACTTCCATTTCACAGATGGAGACACAGATCTAAAGAGCTGCCATTCCCAAGGTCACAATGGTATCACAGTTGAAATTTCACTCAGACTTTAGCGTTTCTTCCAGACCTAAGGAGGCAACTGGGAGAAAAGAACAGGAGGAGAGTGGGCAGGTCCTCTGAGTAGTTCAGGCAGTGGCTCCTTATGGAAAGGGGAGGAAAAGGCTCAGGGACAGTCCTGTGCCATTCCAGCTTTGGCCTCGCAGGGCTCGACTTTGCAACCCTTCAGCCCATCCCCCCAGTACCTCTGCTTTCACAGTGAACCGGTAGACTGTTTTGTTTCCAACTACATCCTTTGTCCTTTATAATATCCCAGGGGCTAGAATTCTTTCAAAATCAGTTATTTATACCCAAAAGTCAGGCTCTGTACCTGGAGAGGACACTTCTTTATCTACAGGAGAAGAATGGAATTGGAGACTGGGCAGGCTGGACGTCATCACTCTGAGAGCTGGTAGGATGCTTTGGAAGGTTTGGGATTTTTCCTTTTCTTTCTTTCTTTCCTCTTTCTTTCTTTCTTTCTTTCTCCTTTCTTTCTTTCTTTCTCCTTTCTTTCTTTCTTTCTTTCTTTCCTTTCTTTCCTTTCTTTCTTTTTTAAAGGGGGTTATGTACATAGGGTTGGGAGGGGGGATCCTGGGTACATCGTGGGAGATAAGTTTTCTTCCAAGGGGGAAAACAGGATGGTCACACCCCCAGTCCAGCCACCAGCGAAATCGTCTAGGAAATCCACACTGCCCGCTCGCTGCCCTCCCTCCCAGCCCACCCTCAGGATCCCAGGTACGCTCGGGTCAGCGAAGCCCCCTCCCGGGTCGAGCAGCAATAGGGGCCTAAGGTGAGGGATGCGGCCCCAGGGCGCGTCCACACCCCAAGCCCGAGGCTCGCTCGGCTGCCGGTCCCCGGGTCTCACTCACCAGCGCTCCCGCCCGGGGGCACCGGGCCCCAAGGTCCCGGCCCTGTAGCGGCGTCTGGTGCGTGGGCCGTCTGGCTGGAGGCGGGGGGCGCGGGCCCGCGGCGCTCCCGGGGCGGTGTGGGTGGCGGCGACTGCAGCTCGTGCTCGGGGCCGGGCTGGGACGACCGCGCCAGCCTCGCGCCTGCGAGAGGCGCCCCGCTGGGCGCGCCGCGGGCGGAGGAGGGCGGCTGGCCCCGCGTCCCGGGGGCGGCCGGCGGCAGCAGCAGCAGCAACAGCGGCGGTAGCAGCAGCGGGAGCGGCGGCAGCCACCGCGAGGCGCGCGGCGAGGCCATGGTGGCGGCGTCCGCCCGCGCTCACATGCCCGGCGCGCGGGGAGGGCGCGGGGCGGGAGCGGGGCGGGCGCGGGTGCGAGGGAAGCCGCGGCGGGTGCCGTGTAGGGCCGGGGAAGTCGGCGAAGTGAGGCTTCGAGAGCAGTCCCCGCCTCAAAAGTTGTGGGGAGCCGCGGGGGGGCGGCCGGGGGCCCGGCGGGCGCGGCTGAGGCGGCCCGGGCGCCGCTACATGCTAATTAGCCCGGGCGGGTCGCGGGGCGGGCGGCTCCTCCGCTGGTTGACATCACCCGCGGAGCGCGGCCGGCCCGGGGGCGGGGAGAGGGCAGGAAGGGGGCGGGGGCCGACCACCGCAGGGCAGCCGGACTGGGACCGCGGGGTGACAACCACTGAACCGTCAACTCGGTCTCTTTACGTACACACACACCCATTAGTATTGCTTTGCCGTTTGGAGAAAAATTAGAAAAACCGAGTCTTCCGAATCAGGCACCAGAATTTCCCAACTCCTTAAATGCACAATGAATCGGTGAAAAGCAGGTGTTGGGTGATTTAATTAGCACCATCTAGATTTTACAAAGTGGTTCGATACGGAAGAGAAGTGAAACCTGTGCCCCTGCCCTCCACCTTGTGTGGCCATTGCCCCTTACTAATTTGAAGTGACCTCCCCCTTCCCGCCCCAGTACTCCAGGCCCCAGGGTTGGTGCTGGGTTCGCTGCTGCCAAGCCTGACACCTCATCCTGCGGCCAGTGCGGGAGTCATCCTTCACCGCTCCCTCTCAAATCTGGATTTCATCCCCATTGACCACTGCCTTTGGCTCACACCAGAGTTCTGCAGAAATGTCACCACCAGGAGACCCAAACAGGCCGCAGAGAAAAGAAAACTGTGAATTCAGGAACTGCTGGGGCCAACGCAATGGGTAAAAGGGCTGCAGATGGCAAGTTCAACAAAAGGTCACACAGAGATCACTGAATTTTAATGGAAACCCTTCAGGGGAGAGATTCAAAGATTTAATGTAAACAGACTTTCCTGGTAAATAAAGTCCCATATGTATCCATATTCCCTCCCTTCCCAGTAAATAAATGATTTAAAAAGTCTAAATTTTAGGGCTGCAAGCCTCCTCATTTCTAGGTGAGGGAAGAAGGGCTCAAAATGCAAAATAACTTGCTCAAGATTCTGAAGCTAGACCCCAAGATTAAGGAATGTGTCTATGAATGACCATGTGGCATCATTAATTCTGGTCCCATTATTCAGAAGTTGGAATAATTCAGTGTCTCAACAGAAATGAAACCTGGAGCTCCTTGGGGATCTTATCAGTTCTGTCAGAGGCCCCTGTCTGAGCACCAGATGCTCAAGAAACTCTGAGTTTGGACTTCCCTTTCAGGCCTGTCTCTCCACCCCATTTCTCTGCTCTCTCTGTTGACATCTGGAGCTCCATAACCCACCTCCAGGGCCACGAGCAGATGGTGGTGGTGTCCAGGGCAGCTGCCGACAGACCTAGGCCCCCTTCCTGGTGAATCAGTCCAAGTGAGTCACCGGGCAGAAAACATAAGGATGCTCTACATAAACAAGCTGGTCTTAAATAGGGGAGTGAGGAGTAACAATTTGTTTTTATTTTGTTCTGTTTTAAAAGAACCACAAAAACCCAACTTTCCAGAGCGCTCACATGGAATTTCCAGGTCTTTCCAAGAAAGTACCATACAATGATCGCCATGTAAGTAACTTGGTTTGATGGCCCCAGCTCAACTTCTTGGGATCCTGCCCTACTATTAATAGGCAGGACTGTCCAGCTGCTCAGACACAGCCCTACAAGCCCCAACCAACACAAGACACTGTGTTAGAGGTTCTGGTCAATGCCACTCCCTTCCTTCCTCAGAAAACATTTCACGCAGCATGAATCGCCATCCTAGGTAATCAGTAATGTTCAACAGTTTAATGGCTCTTACAGGTTTCTCAGAGGCTTCTGTCTGAGCAGGCGGGATTCAGAGATCCCACTGGGGACTCTGCCTTCATTACCAAGGCCCAAGGAGCAAATGTGCACCTGCCACGTGTCCCTTCCCTGTAGGTACCACAGAGTTCTCTCTCTCTCATCTTCTCTCTAACTTCTAAAAGGAATGAACAAGTTCAGGTCAGCTGAGTAGGGCCTCACCTGTGGATGAGGAGGGTGAGACCCAGGAAAACCTGGAAAGATAGGTTTCCAGGTGAAGATGAACCCCTGCACTTTTTCATCTTCTTCTAGGACAGAGTAAGAGGAAACAGCAAGAGCAAGTTGGAAGCAGACAGAACCTTGGAAAGTGTCGTTAATTTTGTCTTAGAGCCCTTGTTTCTCGCCCTAATTTTACCACAGTTTCACAGTGTGATCTGGGCCACAGTTTCCTCATCTTTAAAATAAAAATTAATTTCCTAGATCATAGGTGGCAAACACAAGGCCCGTGGGCCGAAACCAGCCCTCCACCTTGTTTTATCAGGCCAGGCACCTTGTTTCTATCTGGTGGCAGCACCGAGCTCCTTGCCCCTAGTTAAGGAGTAGTTACATTTATACAGCACCTAAAATTACATCCGGCCCTTTGAAGGCAACCTCAAGGCTGATGTGGCCCCCAGTGAAAATGAGTTTGACACCCCACGACCTAGATGACTGTAAAGGTGCTCCAGCTCTGTTGTTTTAGGGTTTGGTAAAGATTTTCTGACACAGCAGCAAGGATATATGAAACCTATATCCAAGGACATTTGTAATGTTTCCTTCCCAGAGATATAAAAACCCAGAGAAGAATTTTGGTCACTTCAGATGGTTTAGAAGATGGTTCAGATGGCCCGACCTGGAGCCAGGGGTATAAATCAGATGACATATCAGATCCATCCCAGCACTGAGAGTTTATTGACCTAGAATGAAACAGGTGAGATGCAACGTCAGACCACATTTCTGGACTGAGATAAGAGTCAGGCAATCCTAACCTCTCCAGGGGGGCTGTGGGGACACTCAAAAGTGGTTGAGTCCAGTGTGACTACTACCCAACACTGTATGTAGCCAGAGCTTTTGCAGGGCCTTTCCTGTCTATACTAGCATAAATTAGATCAGGTTTAAGCTAAGCTTCAGTTAACAAATAACCCCCCTCCCCCACAAATGCAGCAGGTTTACATGATAGATGTTTTATTCTTCTTGCTCACTTAACAGCCTTAGGCAGTGCTGTTCAGGTCAGTGTGGCGTGTCTTCCCACAGTCTTTCAGGGATCCACACTGAAATGGCAGTTCTGTCATTCTCTAGTGTATGGATGGCTTCCAAAGTTGCTCTTGGAATTGACATTCCAGTCAGCCAGAGGTGAAAAGAACATTGGAGATGTGAGCATGGGAAGTTTTGATGGGCCCAGCCTGAAAGTGGCACGCTTCACTTCCTCTGACATCTCACTGGAGAGAAAGAACATGGCCACATGGCTCACCAAACTGCAAAGGCACCTGGGAAATATAGTCTAGCCGTATAGGCAAGGAAAGGGAGAAGGGGTGTGGGTAGATAGCTAGCAGTCTCTGCCCTATCACTTGATATCAGTAGGGAAGGGAAAGGAAGGGTAAAGGAGATTCTTCAGTTTCTTCCTTCACAAAACGAGAGTCTTGAATCAGATGATCTCTCAAGGGCCCGTCTGCTTTAACACTATGGCTCCAAGAGGTGATGACATGCTTCTGCACCAAAGAATGCAAGCCTGCAGGCTTCTGAGCAGCACGTCCTTAGCCTGAGCAGTCCTGTGTCAACTGGTCTGGCTGGTAGATGCCATAGAGAGGGCCTTGGGCTCTCTCCAAGTTCTCTTCCTGAGCTGTTTCCAATCCATGGCCAAGTCAAGTGATCTCTACCCTCCTCAGTCTCCCCAGCTGTACAGTGGGAAGAAAAATGATGAAACTTTGCATTAGCTGGGGTTGGTCTGAGGACATGATGAGATCACTGTCTGGAAGGCACCAGGAGCTCTTCTGACTGAAGTGCTCTACACAATGCTTTTGTTATAACCAGAGCCTTTAATAACACTGCATTCTGGACAGGTTCGGAGAGTGCCCAGTTCCTGAGGACAGTGCTCCTGCAGAATCTGTGGCAGTGTGGGTGGCATTGCCATGGCTGGGATGTAATGGTGGCTGCAGAGCAGTAACGTCACAGGGTCGCAGAGAGCTGAGAGATCAGTCATAGACACCTGGATTGAACTTCATCTGGGGGTGGTGGGCGGGGCCCAGGCATACTAGTCCTTTGGCCTGCCCATCTGCTCTGTGCTCATCACCCAGTTACACCCTGGATCTGTTTACTCATCCTCTCCTCGGCTTGCACCTTCCCACCCTAAATCTCTGAGTTGCTTTCTGGAAGTTCTGTGCCTTGTTCATCTTTATAATCCCAGGACTTAACATAGTAGCTTCTTTCTTTTACTCAGTCACTCAACTAATATTTACTAAGTGACTATTCTGTGCCTGGCACTGTACTGGTATTGAGTGAGTCTCAGACCTCATGGAGGTTTAAGGTTTGGAGGAGACAGACAGTAATCAAAAGAACATAAATGTGAACCTGTCACTGTGGAAGGTGCTCTACTGCACAGCACTAGGGAGGGGGTGTTGCGGTCCTCTATAAACATGAGGTTGATCCATGACCTGAAAGTGCATGGGCCATTAATATGTTGGCTGTTAATCAGGCAAAAGTGAATGGGAAGAGTATGTGCAAAGGCCCTGAGGCAGGAGGCATTGTGACAAATGTAAAGGATCAAAGAAAGCTAATATGGCTGGAAGTGAGACAGAGTGTGAAGGAATCATGTAGGAAAGACAATGAGGCTCTCTTTGATAGCTCTCAGATCAAGCAGACCCTAATGGTCCATTTTAAAGATGTTTGCTTTATCTTTAAAATTTAGGGAAGTCATTGTAAGGTTTTAAGTTAGGGAGGTAAGGTAAGACTGGAGTCGGAGGAGAGAAAGAAAGAGGAGTGATAGGATTTGCAATTAGAAATCATCATCCCATTGATGATATGGGGGATAATCTAGAAAGAAACCAAAGCCAGTGCCTGAACTCCAAGTGCGTCCAAGTGAGAAATAATAATTCTTGGACAGGATGACAGAAGTGAGTGCAGAGAAACATGAGTTTCAGATTATAGGAGATAAAATCCTCCTATAGGAGACAAGATATGGAGGCTGAGGGGTACTACTGACAAGGAGAAGGAACAGTGAATGAGGACTAGACATTTGAGGTCAAGGCTGTTAACTTTGTTTGACATTGGGCCTGGGGTAGCTCTGAGACATCCAAATGGCAAATGTAAAGTGTGCACTTAGTCCTAGCCGGTATGGCTCAGTTCATGGGAGTGTTGTCCAATGCACCAATAGGTCACAAGTTCAATGCCTGTCCAGGGCACACACCTAGGTTGCAGATTTGATCCCCAGCTGGGGCACAGTTGGGAGGCAACGAGTCAATGTTTCTCTCTCACAACTCTCTCTGTCTCTCTGTCTCCCTTCCTCTCTCTGTAAAAGCAATGAAAAAATGTCCTCAGGTGAGGATAAACATAAATAAATAAATAAATAATAAATAAATAATATTAAAAACAAAGTGTGCATTTAGATTTGCAAATTTGAAGGGCAGAAGAGAGGTTCTAGTCTGTGTGCGCACAGGCAGTGAGATCTCCTAGGGAAGACAGGACAGTGAGAAGAGCCTAACAATGAGCCCTGAGGGCCAGAGACAGAAGACTGAGCCACAAAGGAGACTGGGAAGGAGCCATGAGGCCACGGGGGAGGAAATCAGAGATAGTCATGTCACTGGAGCAAAGGGAGGAATGCATGGTTAATAGTGTGTAATACTGCCGAAATATCAAGTAAGGTAAAATACATTTTTTATATCAAGACAGAAAATATCCACTGGGTTTAGCAACATGGAAGTCACCTTACCAAAACAGGAGTCACTCTTCAATGGAGGGATTGGGGTAGAAGCGACAATGGAGCAAGTTGGGAGAATGGGAAGTAAAGAAACCAAGCTGATCAAGAGAGTTCGGCTTTGAAGGAGAAGAGGGAGTTGGGACAGTAACTACAGGGCATAGGGCAACATAGGCATAGGGGACTTTTTCTTGTTTTCAGTGGGAGCATTGGAACATGGAAAGGATCTACTTGGAAGAGAGAAAATCGAAATTCTAAGAGAAAAGATGGTTGACAGGACTAGGTTTCTGAGAAGCAGGAGGGATGGAATCTGCAGCACGGGTGGAAGGACTGGCCTTGGGAGGGGGAGCGAGAGGGTGGCCCAGCGAAGGGGTCTGAATTTCTATCTGAGGATTTTAAGAGGACTTCAGTTTTCTTTGTAATGTAGGAGACAAGGATATTTGCTAAGAGTAGAGGGACCAAAGGGGTGGGACCTGAGGGATTTGAAATGTTGAGGAACACAATATGCTCATTTCCCAAGGCTGCTATAGCAGAGTGCCACACACATGGGGACTTAAAACAGAAGAAATTTCTCCGTTCACAGGTCCAGGGACTGAACGTCCCAAATCGAAGTGGCCGTCCTCCCTCTGAAGGTTCTGGGAGAGAATTCTTCCTTGCCTCCCAAACGGGTGGTTGCTGGCAATCCTTGGTTGCAGTGGTTCCTTGGCTTGTGGGTACATCACTGCAGTCTGTGTGTCTTCACATGGCCTTCTTGTAAGGACACCGGTCACTGGATTGAGGGCCCACCCTAATTCAGTATGATCTCATTTTAACTCAATTACTTCTGCAAAGACCTTTTCAAATAAAGTCACATTCACAGGTACCAAGAGTTAGGACTTGAACCTATCTTTTGGGGGATACAATTCTGCCCACTACAGTGAAGAAGCTGAGAAATAGTTGTAGAGAGTGAGAGAAATGTGCTAGAATGCCAGCCTTGTCCAGGGCTCACAGAGATTAGTGGAGCGTGTCCAGTGGTGGCACCAGCTGTTCCCAACTGCGCTCCTCTCTGCTGATCGGCATCCAGCATCTTTGGCCTGAGCCGGGGCACCCCAGCCCTCTCCAACTTCAGGACAGGCTCCTGCCTTCCAGGAGCAAAGACTTCACCTCTCTTGACCTGTCCTCCCTTCCCAAACCAATCTCTGCATACCACTCGGTCCTTCCCAGGGATACATCAAGAACCCCTGAAGACTGAAGCTGCCAAGCTGGCCCTGATAGCACCAGGGTCATAACAGATGACAGAGAATTGCAGCCACTGTGCAACACTCAGTACACCTGCACTGTCTTGTTCAGAGCTCCAGGAAGCAGGGTGCCTTGGAATTTCGACTAAAGAACTGAAGTTATAAGCCCGTCTCCTTACTTTTGACCTTCTAGGACCAGCCTTGCTATCCCCTTTCTAGAGTGCCAAGAATGGTCCCTTTTGTTTAGACTGAGCTGGGCTGCTTGCTGGACACAAGCCAAAGACCCCTTGCTGCTTCCCCACCAGCCGGTGCAGGACTCCAGGGGCATTTGCATTGGCCAGCCAAGGTGAGAATGTAAACACTGCAGTCCACCGCTAACGCCCTGGGACCTCCTCCAGGGAGGAAGGCTTGCTCATGGCTTGGCCAGGCTCCCAAGCATCGTGTACAGCAATTCTGAGTTCCAACTTAGACAGCTTGGGGTGGGTCCTTGAATGACCTTCTGTTTCTTGTCTGCCCATCTGAGAGAACCATTCCATTCCAGAAAACATTCCTCCGATAAAATCGGTTACGCACTGTAAACGTCAATGAGCCAGGAACATTCTCGGACACAACAGGATTCTGATAAAGTGGTCTTATTTTGCAAAAACCTTCCAGTGTGAAAAATCCTCCCTGTAAGCAGGGAAATTCTTTGGATGCCAGGCCCTTGGGGAAAGTGATCAGAGCCCTGGGGCAGGAGAGAAAACCCAGAGTGAAGTTCCCACTGTGGTCAGAGGGGCCTGGGTTTTCAGGCATCATTTCATTCAATCAGTCATCAACACACATTTGATGAGCTCTTTCCAAGTGCCAGGCCCTGATCCAAAGTCACCGGGAGGGCCATGTCTTCACGGGGCTGCACAGCTCTCCTGAGTTTCAAAAGGCCGTGATAACTGGCCTGCCTCATACACAAGATAACTGGCCCACCTACCCCACAGGGACAGTCGGGTTAGTGGTCAGCAAACATCCACACTTGCACCTTTGGTCTGGACACCCCACCCCCACTCACCACTCCTCTCCGCCTTCCTCTGTGGGATTGTGAGTTCTCCTCTTCCAGCTGTGCTCCCATGGGCCTCCCATTCTTTTGGCCTTTCTCCATACTGCCTTCTGTTCCCAGGCGTCTCCTTGTGGGATTGTTTCCAGGTACCTCAGTCACTACTTCTCTTCATGTCTCTTGTCTCACTGCGCATCACCGAGTGCCTCCTGGCACATCCCGCTCTCTCCATCTCCACCAGGCTCTCTTTTCCTCTTTGCATGCCTTTCTTCCTAGCAACCCATCCCCATTTCCCCCTTCCCTTTTCTGTTTCTTCTCTTTAACAGACGGTTACACTGAACTAAATACATTTTAAAAATACTTGTGACATAAACTTTTACATTCTCTGGGTTTTATTTTTTAAATTGTTAGAGGATGATGTGGACTTCTTCGTGTTGTCTGAATTTCTCACAAGAGCATGAGCAACTATTTAAAATTCTTTACTGAAATACGATGTACACAGAGAAAAACGCACCCGTAGAGGGACATCCATGAGCTGTGCAGAGCTCAGCGAACATTGCTGGCAGAGGTTTGTGCAGCCGGCACTCAGACGGAGAGGTGCCCATGACAGTCCCCTCCCCCCATCATTCTCCCACACACATTACCACTATCCTGACTTCTTTCAGCATAGCTTAGTATTTTTTGATAAAATACCTGGTTTTGTATTTTATGTCAAGTACTCTTGACTGTCTAGACATGTACTCTTTTCTGTCTAGCTGCTATTGCTCAGCATTGTTGTACGTGCTGACAGACCCTTCCTTCTCCTCGTCGATGGTACCCACGGAGGGGCCAGCCCCCGAGCTGTTTTCCCTTCTACTGCTAGTGGCCGTTTCACAGCTGCTACAGACAGTGCTGCTACTAACCACCATGTATGTGTCATTTGATGGCATGTATTTCCTTTATAATCAGGAAAAAACTATTTCCACTTGGAAAGATGGAGATAGATGGCCAAGTCAATGCTTTACAAAAGAGCTCTGGAGCAGGAAGTGGAACACGTGAGTCCTCATTCTGTCTTCTCTGTTGCCTGGTTCTACAACTCTGAGCCGATCAGTTCACCCCAGGGAGTCTGTCTTCCACACACAAAAGGTGTGACGCCTGCCATAGGTCAGTCAGTGTCGCTGCCTCACGGTGCACTGTGCCAGAGCGTAAGGTGATGGCTGTGAAAAAAAAAGTGTCGTGCAAAAATAAAGTGTGTTATTTTAGTAAAGAAGAAATTAAGTAAGAGTTACATTATGAGGCTCTTGATTTATCTGTTTTTAAATTTTGAAAATAAAAATTGAGCCTGTTCATTAGACAGACGATCTCCCCAGTCCTTGCCCCACTGTGGGCAAAAAAACATAAACAAATCATAAATAAAAGACAGTGAATGTCTCAAAATGTCCTGTTTTCAAAGGACCTAGTTTCATATGAGCAAGTGGGAACATATGGCCTGTGACCTCTTTTGCCCCTTCCTAGTGACTTTGGTTTATAACAGTTGGGGGATCCTGGTCTAGATAAGGAACAACAACAAAACCACCTGTCTGGGCTGTAGGGACCCAAGGGACACGCCCAACCCCCACCCCCTCAAAGAATTGGGACACACCCAAAGAGGACATTCAGAAGACCACAGATACCAGCCCAGTGCCCCCCTGCATCATAAGGAGAGAGTCAGACAAGAGTGTGAGACAGGAAACAGGACTAATGTCTGCTGACCAGCACAGCAAATCTAAGGCTCTGTGCTCTCTGCCAACATGGGGTCATTCGTTAGTGTAGGGAAGCTGGCGCTGTTCACACACTGGTGTGGAGGCAGGCTAGGCACCTGCAGCCAGCTCCCACCCAATTTTTCCTCCCCACCCAAAACGAACCAACCCTGTGCTCTGAGGCTCAGGCCCAGCAGTTTCCATGACACCAGCAGCCCTGTGCTTGGTGTTCTGGGATACAAAGCTCCAGGGTCCCTGTCCTCATCTGAGTATGTGTGGGGGGAGCAGGGCCCGAATGAGACAGAACAATTCAAGAAGGAGACCACATGTGCAAGAAGGATTCTGAGCAGGAATTCATGAAGCAATGGAGAAATGGATGAGAGCCTTAAAAACTAAACATTAGACTAGTGATTCTCAACCCTGGCTGGACATTAGAATTGCCTGGGGAGTTTCTGCAACAGGTCAGTGACTGGATACCACCTGCCTAATGAAAACCTCTGGCCATGAGGCCTGGGCATCAGTATTCTTCAAAAGGTCTCTGGGTGATTCTAACGTGCTGCCAGGACTGCAAACCCCTGCCTTACACTTAGTGCAGTAGGAGATAGAGACTTAGTATGAGCTTTCAGGGTACAGGAACACGATCAGAGTGGTTGCTCAAGCAGCATTTATTGAGCACCTACTCTGTACCAGCAGGAGCTATGCTAGGCTCTTGGTACACAGAGATAAGAAAGATATTGGGTTGGCCAAAAAGTTCATTTAGTTTTTTCTGTATGATAGCTCTAGTAGTGCTTAGCTGTCTTGGACTTCATTCAAAACAATTTTGCTAGATTGTATTATGACAGCTGTCATATCAGTGTGCATTAAAAAAAAACTGATCAGAATTGGTGAATTTTTGTGCAGCCATTTTAATATAGAAGATGGAAGAAGATACACAACATTTTTGGTGTATTATGCTTTATTATTTCAAGAAAGAGAAAAATGCCAATGAAATGCAAAAAAAGATTTGTGCAGTGTATGGAGAAGGTGCTGTGACTGATCCAATATGTCAAAGTGGTTTGTGAAGCTTCCAGGTACTATTGATATTTTGGCCAAATAATTGTTTGTTATGGGGCTGTCTTATGCACTGGAAGATGTTTTGCAGCACCCCTGGCCTCTACCCACTAGAAGCCAATAACAGGAGATAGCCAACATACTCAAAACATCCAAATCAATAAAGTTATTGGTGAAAATGAAAAATGTATCTTTTATTTTATGGAAAAAATCAAACAGACTTTTTAGTCAACCCAATACATAGAGCCCCTGCCCTTAACTAGCCAGCAGATTAGGAGAAAAGACAGATCCACAATAAGTATAATATAAAGTATCTTACAAAAGTGTGAACCAAGAGCTCTTGAACACTGAGGATTTTCTGGAGAAAGCTTTCTTAGAGATGTGACGTTAGAATTCATTTCTGAAAGAGTTAACCAAGCAAAGAAAATAGGGAGAACATTTGAAGTGGACAAAAGTAACATACAGGTAGTGAGTCCTACAGAGACCCGCTGTGTTCAGTATAACAGGGAGCATGGGGAGAGGACTCTGGAAAGAATGCCAAAGGCAAACACCACAGGCCCAATTGTATTTGAGCTTTCTGTATGTGAAAAGCGAGCTAGAATGAGCAAATTAGAAGAGTGAGAGGAAGGTAGGGAGGCCAGTCAGGAGCCACTGTAGTGATCCAGATGTGAAGTGATGAAGGCCTGGACCGAGGAATTGATGGTGGGAATGAGGAAGAGAGCAACCCAAGAGATATTTCCAAAAAAGGCGACAGGTTGAATCTGGCAATAGTACAGATGTAAGGAGAGGGGGGTGTGTGTGTGGGGGGGGAGGATGCAAAGATGGCTTTACAGTATGACTTGAGACAGTAAGAGAGCAGGATAACAGGATAACATGACATTAGCAAAGATGGGGATGCTTGGTAGATTGTGTGAATTTCACATAACTCCAAGACATCCATATGGAGATGTATACAAAAGGCTAGCTTAGGGGCATAGGTGGGTTACAGAGGGTGAAGAGGGACAGTATAAGGCAGAGAAAAAAAGAAAAGTGGATGGCAACCAGCAGACCAGGCACAGGTGTGTATTTACCAGGACTGACCTGTGTGTGGGTGGAGACAGGAGGGCGGGGAGGAAACAAACAGAGGTGGATAAGCAGCTAGGTCCATGAGGTGTGAAAGCGTGGCCTCCACCAACGGAGCAGTGTTTACCTTTAGGAAGGAGTGGCATTTCTTAATGGAGGTACAGTGTCTAAGAAAACTCCCTCCCGAGGCCTGGATCCAGATCCAACCCTCTACAGTGGGACATTTTTTCATAAATGGCCAGAGAGTCAGTGTTTTAGGCCTTGTGGGTACATGGTCTGTCTCAGCTGCTCAGCTCTGTGGCCAGTCAACGTGTGAATGAATGGGCTTGGCTGTGTCCCCATAAAGCTCTATTTAAGAAAACAGGCAGTGGTTAAAATGCTTCATTTTATTTTGTGTGAATTTTACCTCAATTAAAAATTAAAAGAGAAAAACAGACCCTGGGCTTGATTTGGCTCAGGGGCTACAGTTTGCCAGTACATGCTCTAGAGATGGAGGAGGAACAGAGAGAAGGTAAGGTCTGTGCTAGCCCCATGGGGACTGTGAAGAGTGACCTGGCTCTACCGAGTACTAGCTATGTGACCTTGAGCAAGTTATTTAATTCTCCTTAGCCCATTTCCTCATCCGTAGTATGGGGCAAGTAACAGCATTTTTCCCACTGAGTTCTTCTGAGGATCAAAGGAGGCGATGAATATGAGCAGTAGCATAATGCCTGGCTCAACACAGATTTTCTTACGGAATTCTAAAGAATTGACCATGAGTCGGAGGATCACAGCTGCGGATGGGTGCCATGACCATGGAGCCCAGGCAGTGGCGTCATCGGATCCCTGGATGACAGTGTAGAGCTCCCCGCCCCCTTCTGATGGAGTCAGACTGGCACGTGAGCCAGGAATAAATGTGTCGGGTGTCAAGTCACTGAGATTTAGGGGCTGTTTGTTGCAGCAGCGAGTCCACCCTGACTAAAGCAGTTGCACAAAGTCACACAGAGGTGCCCATCTGACAAGCAGCTCAATTAAAAGTTGGCACTGCCGTTTGCAGCATCTCCCCCTGTGACTTCCAGTTTGGGGCTCATGTCTGAAAGCAGTGCTGTTTTCTCCATCTTCAACCTCTTACCACATATGGTGTCTGTCACAGCACAAGGATCCGCACTCACTGAGCCCTCCTGCTGGCTGCTGGGTGGAAGGGGTTGGGGGGGAGTGACTGCTAATCCTTTGAAATGCCACTCACCCTCAGGGCTTCTCAAAGTGAATCTGATGGAGGCCACATGGCCTCTATTTTAAGCCAGGCTTCACATTTGGTGAATCCAGCTTTTTTTTTTAATAGCATGCTTTCTCTAACAGACTGTCAGGAAAGAACACACACACACACACACACACACACACACACACACACACACACACTCATAGGTGTGTTTTTAAAGAAACAATGAAAGAAGCTAAAAATCCAGACTCTCTATTATTTTAGAGACTTCCAAGTAGAGAGCTGCTTCTGCCTCTTTTAGAGGAAGGCTGTGGCCGCCCTCACCTCAGGGGTTGGTCAATGGCTATCTGTCCTCCACTCACACCCAGACTGTCAGACTAAGAAACAGGGAAAGTGCACCAGCCTTGATGCTGTGAAATGGGCCGCGTGCCCAGGGACACAGCCAACTGGGGACCCCCTGGCACTAGTGGGTCTTTCTTGCCATCTGCTTTGCCTCTTACTTGAATGTGACCTTCCCCTCCAAAAGACTACCTTGTCAAGAGTCAGGGGCTTATGCCTATGCCTGCCTTCTCAAATCAACACACTGGCATCTATTTCTGCTTGTAAGCCTCCTTGCAGGAGGCCAGGCACATCTCCCAGGTGCAAGGGTGTGGTGAGCACAGACTTCTGTCCTTTCTCATCTACAGAGAAGGGCAAACAGTGTGGGATAACTCCCAGCCTGTGCAAACACCACATCTGATCTTGGGCATTGAAGTTGAACATCAAGGATATAAGACTTGGCAAGAAGTGGATTATTTGCTCCAGAGTAAGCCTTGGTTCAAAAGAACCAGAGAGGGGTGTAGGTTTTTTGATATTTTGGGAAAACCCCTAAGGCTCTAAGAAGGGAAGGGAGAAGACTGAGAGAAGTAATTTGCAGAAGTGGTCAAATGAGTATAATAAACCAAGGGTGTGGGGGAGAGGCAGGGTTGAAATGGTGATCAAGTGGCATCTCTTGTGGGTTCTCCTCACTCGGATTGGGCCTGAGCAGATTTCCTGCTGTTGGTTAGTGAAGGTGTCCCACCCTCTGTGGCTGACAAGGCACAGCATGGCCTGTTGAAGCAGTAAGACTCTGCTCTGTTCTGAAATTTCAGAGCAGCAGATGCCAAGAATCACTGCGGTTTCCTTCCTTCCTTCCTTCCTTCCTTCCTTCCTTCCTTCCTTCCTTCCTTCCTTCCTTCCTTCCTTCCTCTGTTCCCACAGCAAGTGACACAAAATCAGCAGGGGTGGTAGGGGAACAATTTTGTGACACCTCCACCATTATTTCCTTTTCCAAAATGTGAGTCTCCTTTTATTTGGCACTCACAACTCCACTTGGAGGCAGGCAGAATTATAATTCCCCCTTTACAGAGAAGGACATCACGGCTCAGTGAGGTCAAGCCTGTTTAAGAGCTCAGAGCTAGTAAGCGGTAGAGCCAAGCATTCAAAGATCTTCATCCCCAAAACCCATGAGTTTGCAACTATACCAAACTCCTTCTCAAGTGAGTTCACTTAAAAGTCATAGGTAGTCCCTGGTTAAGTGGCTCAGTTGGTTGGAGCATTGTCCTGTACACAAAAAGTTTTCAAGTTTGATCCCCAGTCGGGGCACGTAAGGGAGGCAACAGATCAATGTTTCTCTCTCACATCGATGCATCTCTGTCTCTCTGTCTCTCTGTCTCTCTCTCTCTCTCTCCCCCCCTCCCTCCACCCTGTCTCTCTAAAATCATTATAAACATATACTTGGGTGAGGATAACATAAGATATACATTCTCTTGTTTTGGTCTCTCTGTCTCTTGTCTTTGTTCACCTCTTTCCCTTGTTTTGCAAATCTTTCCATATCCTCTGTGCAATCCAGTTCAAACCCCGCTTCCTCCATGTCTCCTCAGGACTTGTGAATTCGACTTGCACCACATGGTTTGGCTGTACGCTCTACTGCTTTGTCATTCTGTCCAACCATTCCCTGCACCTCCACTGCCTCCCCCAGCAACCCAGCCTCCAGGCCAAAATGGACAGCTCCTAATAATCCCCAGACCCTGTGAACAGTCACTTACCTGCAAAGGGAACTCCTGTAATAAGGATCTTGAGTTGGGGAGATTACGCTGATCGTCAGAGCAGTCCAAATCTAACCACACAGGTCCTTAAAAGCAGAGACAGAAGTGGGAGAGCTAGAGAAGATGCGATGACAGAAGCAGGGGGCAGAGTAGATGTGATCGCTGGCTGCTGTCTTTAAAGGTGGAGCAGCTCACCACCAGGGAATTCAGGCAGCCTCTGGAAACTGGGAAAAACAAGGAAATGGATTCTTCCCGAGACCCCCCTCAGAAGGAACCCAGCCTTGATTTTAGCCTGGTGAGACCTATTTTGGACCTCTGACCTCTAGAACTGTCAGAGAATATGCTTGTGTTGTTGAAAGCCACTAAATGAGTGGTGATTTGTTACAGCAGCAACCGGAAAGTAAGGCAGTGCGTTCTATTGCTCTGTTCTTGTCTCCACACTGCCTCGCCACCCTGGCAACCCACAGCCACAGACTACTGACTAGTATAGTTGGTACTCAGCATACATGGAGGCTCCATGAACCGTAGGTGACGGTCCCTGTGCCTGCAGAGCTCTGGGAGTGTCCGTCAGGCCCTCCTCTTATTTGCTCTGACCTCCGGAGTGGAAGCCCACTGGGGCTCTCTGCCCGCTCTCCAGTGTAGCTGAGCAGAAAGAGCAACATGTACGTCAGGAAAGGAAAGGAGTGGATCTAAAGCTGGATTGCTCCTGAGTCTGGATCATGCTTAGTTCTCATAAAGGTCTTCTGATAAAGCACTATACAACATGAAGGATGGACTTTTGTTCTCATGCCTCAGCCTCCCCTTCTCATTCTCATTGTACACGGTGTGGGGCACAAGCACCTTTGGGACCTGGCCCTTGCCTGCCTTTCCGGTACCCCCCTTGCCTCACACTGCCTCACCCCTGTGCCCCTGGAACCCTGAATTACCCATCGGTCCCACATGCCTTTGACCATGCTGTCCCCTCTGGTGGGAATGCCCTGGCCTTCCTCTCTGCAGATACCTCCTCCTTCAGAGAGCCCGCCATGCCTGCTGTCAGAGTGGCTCAGGGCACCTCTGACCCCCCACAGCCCCTGCGTCTGCCTCTGCCACTGCTCTCACTGCTCCTGGGTCCCTTCAGTTCTCCTCATTTTCCTCCCCTGCCCACACCCACAGAGGATGGAATTATGACCCAAACCCCACCCCTCCCCCACAGCAGAGGCAGAGGGAACAGTTCTGTCCCCACCCCCACCCTGCCATCATGTGTTTGCTCCCGTACAAGGCAGGAGGAGGCCAATCTGATTGGTCAGAGCTAGGGCCACATTTCACTAGTGGGCAGGACCCAGATTTGAAAGGTAGTGTGTGGTCACCTCACGATCTCTACCTTCTGCTACTGGTGGTGAGGTCAGCTGGTCATTCTCTCTCTTGATTCTACCTCCTCATCCAAGGGTCTTTGGGAGAAAAGTATTCTTAGATCCAAGAGAAAGAAAGTTAGAAACTATAGGCCTTGCTTCAACCCTCTGGCTTCAGCTGTGCTCTCCCTCACATCCTTGTCCGGGTATTAGTACATAATAAGTTCCCATGGTCAGAGACTTGGAGGAGAGGAGGGGCGATGGAGTCCTGAACCCAGACCTTCACACTGACATGTACTTGTTTGTGCAGGACGCACCCCATTGTGTGCGTCAGAGGACCTGTCAGCATGACTCCCAGAGACATCTGAGACAACGACCTCTGTTCTGGTCCCAAGCCCCGAGTTCAAGGATGCGCTTGAATTGGGCTGTACTCGCCTTGAAGGTTTGAGAGTGGTGGCTGAGGAATTCACTTCTGCCTGAATGGCCTATGGTCATAGTTTTACTCTGTAGAGCTCTGAGATTGATGAGATATACCTGGCTCAGGTGAGGTCTCAGGCACGTGTACAGTTACTGTAGCCATGGATGGGTGGATTGGTAGATCAATGGGTGGATAGATGGATCAATGGGTGAGTGGATAGTGCATAAATGAATAGATGGGTGAACCATTGGATAGATAAGTCGATAGACAGCATGGCCTGAAGGGCGGCCTTCGTGGTGCCAGAAGTTCTGACAGGACCCTCACTCGTTCAGACATTCTCACGTACAACTGTGAACTCCTTGGTGAGATGTTGAGACCAGGAACCTATCTCTGTTTTAGAAAATGTTGCAAATCTCACTGCCATTTATCCTGATACTTTTGTGATGCTACTTTCCAGCATCCGTTAGATGAATAAATTCCATGTGAATGACCCAGTGATACCCATGTCTTATCTTTCTGACAACCTGTACTTACTACTGACCTATTTTCACACACAGGTTATATACAAAGCCTCTCGCATGCCCCTCAGACCCTCTCTGCCCCATGTCTCTGGGGCTAAGGCCATTTGTTCCATCTCACCCACCACTGCAGCAACCATTTCTGCTGGGCTCCAGCCCATGCATGCACATAAACCCAGAAGTGTCTCATGCCCATAGGGTAGCTGCTTACTGTCAAACTCAGTAGGTACTCGCACCAGTACAGATCACAAGTGTGGGGGGTTGACACCCTGCAGGGCTAACATCTGTTCTGGGAAACCAGAACCCCTTGGTAAATTCTCACATTTTCCTTCCTCTGAAAGGGGTCTTGTGACACAGGTGTTCTCATGGGCTCTCAGAAGGGTCCATTGAGATGCTGAGGAGTCACCACCTCGGTGACATGCACCCTTCCCTGCTTCACTCCTCTTCCCTGATGCGCGTGAACTTCCACTTTCCAGGGTGCTCAGGCTAAGACCTGATTATTGCTTTACTGATTACTACTGCTACTTATATAATATAGTTTGGGTTAAATACAAGATTTTTGGGCCTAATTAGAGGCTCAGCATGTTTAGCATCTGACTCTCATGATAGACACTGAGCTACTCATTTAGGCATCCTCAACATCAAGCAGAGGCTGGAATTTTTTTTATCATACCTCATCCTTCTCTTTCTCCTTTCCATAAAAACAATCACTTTAAGAAAGTTCCCATCCTGGATACTTGAGTCTCTGCCATGCATGGTTTTCAAACTCAGCACCATCTTTTTCAGAGGGGTTACTTTTTTAGCTTGTTTGCAAAATGCAAAAAAAGCAAAAAGTAGATTCAGTAAAGGCTGAAGGAGTCTGAAAAATAGTGTTCCCAAAATATATTCACATCCCAATTCTTGGAATCTATGAGTGTTTCCACATTTGGTAAAGCCTCTGCAGGTTTGATTAAGTCAAAGCTTTTGAGATGAGATTATTCTGATTATCTGGGCAGACCCTAAATGCAATCACTTGTAACCTTGTAAATCTGAGGCAGAGGCCAACTTCACACACACAGAGGGGGAGGTGATGTGACCACAAAGCAAAGAGAGAGTTTGAAGATGTTGGCCTTGAAGATGGGAGTGATGTGGCCACAAGCCAAAGAATGCCAGCGACCATCAGAAGCTGGACCAGGCAAGGATCGAATTCTCCCCTGGAGCCTCTGCAGGGAGCACAGCCCTCCTAACACCCTGATTTCAGCTCAGTGATACTGATTTCTCACACTTGGCCTCCAGAACAGTGGGCAAATAAATTCCTATTGTTTTTAAGCTGCTCGGTTTGAGTAATTTGTTACAGCAGCCACAGGAAACTAGTGCAGCTTCTTCTTCAAGGGTCCTTAGAGATCACCTTCAAGGTAAGCCCTTCATGAATACAGTCCATCTTTCTACTTTCTACTTCCCAATGCCTATTGTTAACTCAGGGTTTGCTTTCTTTAATTTGTTTCTAATGACATTTGGAAGTCTGGCATTTAACCAAAATAGGGCATCAATGGTGACCACGGACTAGATCTCACTGTAAACAGTAATCATGAACTAGATTTCATTTTCTGAGAGAGAATGTCAAGATCTAACTAGCCTCTCATCACAGCCCACCCCCACCACCCCACCTTCCCAGGTCCATCCAACAGGGAAGTGTTTCTCAAAATGGGGCCTGAGGATTACCTGCATTGAATCACCTGAGGCACTCATTAAAATGTAAAGTCCAGGACTCTCCCTCAAACTTACTGAATTATAAAAACAAAAACAAAAACAAAAAACCCAAACTATGGCTGAGGTGTAGAAATCTGTACTTTTAACAAGCCTCCCAGGTGATTCTGAGCCCACCAACATCACAGGACTCTGCTACAGAAGAAAGAGGTCATAGTTGACCCAATAGTACTTCCCTCTGTGGCTCAGCAGTAAAACCACTGACTCTGGCCCAGTGCTCAACCTACCTGAGGAAACCTCCACCGTGGCCCCCAGGACTGGATGCTTGTGATAAATCTGAGCTCAGAGAGGAGCCAAAACAGTCTCCACCCCTCATGCATTCATACCAAAAACAGCTGCAAAGGTATTGGGAGAACTGGGGACCATAAGTGCTTTTGAGAACATGAATCACCATTAGGTAATTCATGTTAATTTACCTTTTTAATTGAAAAGACCCTTAATAAACAAAAATAGCTTACAAAGGCATGTACCCTTTGATCTTGCAATTCTACTTTTGGGAATTTATCTTGCAGAAATTATTTACATTTGTACATATGTACAAGATTACTTACTGCAGAACTGATTATAATAGCAGCAAAAGATTGGAAATAGTCCAAATGCCATCATTGTGGAACTGATGAAATAAATCATACATATATACAATGAAAAATAATAAGAAAACTGTATATGTAATGATACAGAAATGTCTCCAAGATAGATTGTTAAAGGGAAATGCAAGGTGCAGGACACATGTACAATATGCCGCCTTTTGTGTATAGAAGAGGACTAATAAGAATCCACATTCCTATTTGCTTGTGTACTCATCAAGAAACACTGGCCCTGGCTGGGTAGCTCAGTTGGTTAAAGCATCATCCTAGCCCTGGCTGGTGTAGCTCAGTGGATTGAGCTCGGGCTGCAAACCAAAGTGTCGCAGGTTCGATTCCCAGTCAGGGTACATGCCTGGGTTGCAGGCCATGACCCCCAGCAACCACACATTGATGTTTCTCTCTCTATCTCCCTCCCTTCCCTCTCTAAAAATAAATAAATAAAATCTTTAAAAAAAAAAACATCATTCTGATATGCCAAGGTTGGGGGTT